GGTGGAGGGATTAAGGGTGCATGTTCTAGAGTCACGACAAACAACTTGATTTCCAGCTTCATCTCTGAGGTCTTGGGCAGCTTGTTTCACCTTTTAATTCCTCAGTTTCTTCATCTGTAAAATGGGTCAGGTATTAGAACTGGAAATGAAGTTGGCCAGGTGCAGTGGCTTACACGTGTAATCCAAGCACTTTGGGAGGCCAAGGCAGGCAGATGGCTTGAGGCCAGGAGTTTGAGACCAGCTTGGCCAACGTATGGAAATCCTGTCTCTACTAAAAATATAAAAATTAGCCAGGCATGGTGGCGTGCGCCTGTAGTCCCAGCTACTCTGGAGGCTGAGGCACAAGAGTCACTTGATCCCGGGAGGCGCAGGTTGCAGTGAGCCGAGATTGCGCCACTGCACTCCATCCTGGGCGACAGAGTGAGACTGTGTCTCAGAAAAAGATAAAAAATAACTGGAAGGAAGTTGAGCTCAGATCTGGTCTTTTCCAAAGGTCTATTATAGTCACGACTACCTGTATGTACAGACATAGAGGAGACGGATGAGAAACTAATGATAATGATAACAGTATTTATTAGTCACTTACTGTATTCTAGGCACTATTCTAAACAGTGTATATGGATTTATTCGAATTCTCAAGTTTTCCTGAGAGATTGCATGCAGATTTAAGATCCTGTCTTGTTTAGTGTTATATTTATTTATTTTTTCCCCACCGCCTCCTTCCCCTTGTTTATTTTTTATTTTTTTTTAATTGTTTTAATTTTTTACTAGAGACAGGTCTCACACTGTTGCCCAGGCTGGTCTTGAACTCCTGGCCTCAAGTGATCCTTCCACTTCAGCCTCCCAAAATAATGCTGGAATTACAGATGTGAGCCACCGTGGCCAGCCCAGTGTTATATTTTTGATGCTTAGAATAGTACCTGTATGCAGTAGGTACTCAATATGTATATGAGTAATAGTGAGGACTTACTAGGTATCAGGCATTGTATTAATCCTCACAATGCCCACATGAGATAGTTGGATCATTATCTCCATTTCCAAGATAAGCAAACAGCATCAGGGGTTCAATGATTTAAGCCAAGCTCACACAACTAGGAAATACTCAAACTGAGATTCGAACCCAGGCAGTCGGGCACTAGTATTTGCATCCTCAACCATTGTCATGCCTTGCTATTTGCTCCTTGATGCAAAACTCCTGTATTTTGCTTGTTAAATCACATGGAGCCTGGTGACTCATGCCTCTAATCCCAGCACTTTGGGAGGCTGAGGCAGGAGGATCCCTTGAACTCAGAAGTTTGAGACCAGCCTGGGCAACATAGCCAGACCCCATCTGTACTAAAAATTTTTGAAAAAAAAATCAGGCGAGTGTGGTGATGCGGGCCTGTAGTCCCAGTTACTCAGGAGACTGAGGCAGGAGTATCCCTTGAGCCCGGGAGGTCAAGGTTGCAGTGAGCCATGATGGCACCACTGCACACCAGCCTGGGGAAGGAGTCAGAGCAAGACCCTGACTCAAACAAAACAAAACAGCAACAAAAAAGCTCACAAGGAGCTATGTTTTCCTGTCTGCCTCTCTCCCTTGTCATAGGGAAGCCCTAAAGAAAATGAAGGATGTCTATGAGAAGACACCCCAGATGGGAGACCCCGCCAGCTTGGAGCCCCAGATCGCTGAAACCCTGAGCAACATCGAACGGCTGAAATTGGACGTGCAGAAGTATGAGGTCAGAAAAGACCCTGGGGAGGGGCGGGAGCCAGCGTGCCTGGCTGAGTCACTGCCGGGTGGGGGTAGGG